AATTATATAACAAACTCCAACTCCTTCCTTCCAATCGAACTCTCTGACCTGTTTTATCATCCCTATTTATGTCTACCATCTGTCTTTCTATAGAAGCCTATTTTGTCCCAAATTATAGTCGTCTCATTGTTTTAGAAATACATCAGTGCTTCTCCGCAGCTGTGATGGCCGAGAGGTTAAGGCGTTGGACTCGAAATCCAATGGGGGTTCCCCGCACAGGTTCAAATCCTGTTCACAGCGATATCTATAGGTTGCCAATATGCCATTAAATTAGATGTCAAATGAATAATTTATCCTCCTATAGCATAATGACATTTATTTATGAGTTCTTGATAATGTCTAATCGTTCAAAACAAAAAACATAAATAGACAAAATACTAAAAATCAAGGAAACTGCAAACCATTTGGTAGGGACCACAACATAAGCCCTTCCTTAATATGTGCGTTCTCATGTGCATACTTTAAGAGAAGAATCTACGCCCAACTTCTGGAAAATGATTTATGAAGCAATTATTAGCACCATGCTTGTACCTGTCATCTCCATTCCAGCAGCACTCAAACTTGTCAAAGATGCAGTCATTCTCGTAGAGCGAGCACAGCTTGCTCCTGAGGTACTCATGAACCTGAAATGATTGAATGGGGCAGAAAAGTGAAGAAGCAGAAGAAACAATCCTAAAACTCTGGATCACATACTTTATCCGTTCTTGAGATTGACAGCTGTCCCAGCATGCCCAGTGGCAGCAGCTTCCAATGGTTAAGTTAAAAGTTCTCTTTTCTGTCGTATAAAAATATGTTTTAAGATCATTTGAGGGGACAATATTATATTTTAAGCGTCACTATATGGCCAATTTACTGATTTTGTGCATAATTTTAGAAAAAAAGCAACCAGCGGACCTCCTAGAGTAACCGCAGCCCATCTGCAGCAGCACTCTCTTGGCATAGCCATCTGTAAAGGTTTTTGTTTCATTTGACAAAATGTTCATTTGATTTTTGTTTATCTGACTGATTACATTTTAATTTAGTTTACACACACAAAAGATTTGTATAGCTGTTTTACATTAGTCCTTGAAACATTTTTACCACGTCTTTCTAAAGAAGCACCCAAATCATATTGCCCTCCAGTCCTTTTTACATCTGTGATTTCAGAAAGAATAAGTGGTCTATACAGCTGTGATGGCCGAGAGGTTAAGGAGTTGGACTCGAAATCCAATGGGGTTTCCTCGCACAGGTTCCCTGTACCCTGTTTACAGCGAGTTCACTTTGCTCTTTATTGTCCCACAGTGGGGAAATACGTTCTCTGCATTTTGACCCATCCACTTGAGGAGCAGTGGGCTGCCATTGTGTGGCGCCCAGAGAGCAGTGTGGGGTTAAGGGTTTTGCTCAGGAACCCGGAATGCAGGCTGTGGGGATCAAACCGGTTACTGGCAACCTTCTCAGAGTACAAAAACAAATAGGCCAGGCAAAAAAAAATATATATATATTTTCCTCTGTTTGATAACATGACATTTGAGCAGTATCTGTAATCATTACCATATGAGTTTGGGAAATGGCTACATGGTGCAATGAGAAAACAATAACATTTCCTTTACTGATACCAGTGAAAATAACTGGAACCCACACTGACCCTGTTTCCAGTCAATCAGACTGTTGACTTCCAGTTACAGGGGAGCTTTATCTCACTCACCATAATTAAGTTAAGGTACAACAGAAAATGTTTAAGCTACAATGTACTATTTAGATATCAACTAAGTGTT